TTTCGGTTCGGGCACCCCGGCCGTTCCTCCGGACCCTGCCAAGGAGAAGCTCTAGGCCGTTCTCACCCCGCACCTGCGGCATGACTTGCAGAGTTCAGATTCGGGAGTTTGGGGGTTTAGGTTACGAGCGCCATCAGAGGTCTATAGAGGTTTAGACTCGAGATTCTTGTAAGGGTTGACGTTCAGCGCTCGGGTCGTCACAGAGAGCCCTAGACCCTCAAGCCTCAACCCTGAACCCTAGATTGGCGTTGAGTTTGGAAGCCTGTAGATGCTATACCCCACCACCAAGCCCCGAAGCGGACCCCCGACCCTCGGCGTTTAGCTACAACAACTACCCCCTCTGCTAAATACGCAAGAGGTGATTTTGATCCTGTCGCTTATGCGCCCGTAAAGTATAGACCTCAACAGGCCTGAGTCTGAGCCCCTGCGCACAGAAATCCGGCTCTGCACCTGGTACGTGGTCTTCAGCGTGTCGATCGGCGTCAACGCAATGCGCCACAGGGCTGCTGCCTGGGTTCGAGGTTTGGTGGGGCTTAGGAGTTTTGAGGGTTTGGGGGGGGGAGGGGGGGGGTGTTGAATACGGTTTAAGGGTTTAAGGGTTTATAGTTCCTAAACCCTAAACCCCAAACCCTAAACCCCAGACCCCAAACCCCCAAGCAAGGGTTTGTGGTGTCTAACTAGGGGTTTTCAGGGGTCTTCGAGGCGTCCCTCCTGCTGTCGAGAATTAATCGTTTAGAGCTTCAGTCTTTAAGGGCTTTATGTTGGGGTTTTCGGCCGGTAGGGGCTTGGGTTCTAAGAAATGGTGATGGGGGTTTAGAGTTTCGGGTTTCCGTGTTCCTACCGGATGCACTCGGCAAATCTAGTTTCTTTTAGCCCTGCGTGCCTCAAAGAAGTCACGACAAACACCTGAGACTCAACAAGCTCCCAGCCGTATCATCAACACCATGAAACCCTAAACCCTAAACCCTAAACCCTAAACCTAAACCCTAAACAATCCCAAGCAAGCCCTCAAGCCACAAACCCCCTTCAGCCCTCCCTACCTAAACCCTAAACCCTAAACCCTAAACCCTAAACCCTAAACCCTAAACCCTAAACCCTAAACCCTAAACCCTAAACCCTAAACCCTAAACCCTAAACCCTTAGACCTCAACCGCTTCTTGAGGCCACCGACCGTGGACGCCGCTGCTGTCTTTAAAGGCAGCGGCGCCTGCACACCGACAAGGCTGCTGGAGGGCTCAGGGGTTGGTAGCTTGGCTGCACTTAGGAGGGTAGCTATAAACTAAATTTTTTAGCTGCCTTCTTAAGAAACCCAAGAAACCCAAAAAGGCTAAAGATCTAAAGTTATAGTCAAGTACCACAAAGGTAGTTGGGGGAAGCCAAGACAGTCCGGGAAACTTTAGGATTTAGGGCCTATACGATTGAGAATGCAAGAGAGGGCCCGGCCTTTGTGACTCAATGGGCATTGACCTTAACCCTAAACATATCCCATCCCGAAACACAAGAACCTCAACCATAAAATTTGAAAAACGGAAGACGGGTGCCACAGGGCTGGTAGGTCTGAGGGGGGAAGGCTGAGTTTGAAAAACGTGGCCAGATAAACGGCATCGCGGAAGGCTCCAATCAGAAAGCGGGAAGACTGAGTCAGAAAACGCACTCGGCGTGTTCAGAAAACACACGAGCATCAATCAGAAAAACGCGGGGCAAAAACTCCCCGATCCGAAAACAAGCAGGCGCATTCAACAAAACAGACAGCCTCATTGGGAAACTTCGTGATGCGGTGTTTTTTATTGTTAGCCGCACTATCTTGTCGCGTGTTCGCATTGAAACCAAATCAAGAACTGACACCGGCGTTTTTGTCTGACCGTTTTCTGGTCTAAGCGTTCTTGCGATTGCAGGACCTGGAGATTTCGAAGATCAGCATGCAGATAGGTGATTCTGGCTTCGGGTTTAGGGCTTAGGGAGCCCCTGGGACAAAGTAACCTCTATGACAAACAAAGATGGTGTGGAAAGGGCAATCCACAGCTGCCAGAATAATAAGGCCCCCAGGTAGTGTTGGACTAGGGTTTATAGGGTTTATAGCGTTGAGGCCCGGAGAAAGCACCCAATACCGTGCCTCAGGAAAGTAGAAATCCATCAGAACCAGCACCTGGATTGCATGTGAGAAATGGTTTTTCTAGGGGTTTCGGGTGCTTTGGGGTGGGGGCTTGTGGGGTTTACGGGGTTTGAGGATGTGTAGGGTTGATAATACAGGCCTTGGGCTTCCTCATGATCCAAAACCCCCGGCCAGTTGCAGACAAGAACTCCACACCCTACGGCCCCACATCCTCAACACGCTCAAGCCCTAAATCAGTTTCTACAAAAAGGTGCCCTTCCAAACCCCGAACCCCTAAGCCTAAGCTCATCATTCATCCCAAGACCACGCCAAAAAGCTAAAAACGACCGGCTCGGGCCCCGGCTCCGGCGTTTGCAGCCTCGGGAGGGGGGAGGGGGAGGGAGGGGGCTCGAGATGCTTTGTATGCCTGGCTTGGTATTGGTCGGGGCCGCCGACAGAGAAAGAACGTGAGAAAGAAAGCGAGAAAGAGAGAGCCGCCGAGAAAGACGGAGAGAAGGACAAAAACGAGAGAGAGAGAGAGAGAGGGAGAGAGAGTGAGATAAAGAAGAAGAACCATGAGACAGACAAAGCAGAGACAAAAAGAGGCACGTGAACCCCTGAACCCTACGGGTTTCCTTCAGAACCGGCTGGGCCCCCTGACTGTATCGCCCAAGCGGGAGAGCGGAGCCTGAATAATCGCCAGCTGCCTGGGAGCTTTGGGTTTAGGGCTCAGGGTGTAGGATCTGCGAATTGGGGGGGACTTCGATGCCCAGTATGCTCCCTAAACTTCCTACAAGGAGCCCATGGGTTCCTACCTAGAACCAGCTTCTATAGCTTGCCGGTTCACCAACATGAAGATTCATTTTCTTGCCATGCCGAACGGTAGCTTTCTTCTTACACCATCCTAGCTGGGCCGCACCCAAAAAAAGGGGGTTCAGGGTTATGGTGCCAGGGTCGAGTCAGTGCCCCGCCCCCCCCCCCCCCGACCCCTCCCTCCACCCTGACTTCGTCACAATGGGCACCGGGCACGCCCTGGTACAGCCTGCGGATCCCTCCCTCCTCCCACAGCGAGCCTCGGCAGCGCGGCAAACTTGGATTCAACCCTGTAAACTTTAGCCTCTAAACTCTTAGCCCTCTACTCTACATACCATCCCTAAACCCACTCACTTTTTAAATATCCTCACCCACCTATAGAGCTTAGCCGGCGTGGCCAGTCATAGCTAATTGAGAGTTTGCAGCGTTTACAGCGTTTGGGGGTGTAGGCATCGCTCGACGAGCGCCGGCTGCCCTGACCCACGAACCCCTGAACCTCTAAACCCCTAAACATTGAACCCACGACCCTGCCAGGTCCTGGCTTCGTACCTGGGACCACTTGGGCAAGGTGCCTGAATGCAAAAAACCCTGGTCCCTTCAAACACCAAACCCTAAACACAAAGCCCCAAACCCCAAAAAGCCTAACACTCAAAAGCCCTTGAAATACGTTCAAAACCTTCAAAAATACCAGACCAACGAAAAGCCTTAAAACCCTCAACTCTGCTTTTCGTGGCGCGTCACGGAGCCTAAACGATGCGGGCCCAGTTCCCAAGGCAGGGCTTTTCAGGCTTAGGGCAAAATCAAGTGGATTCAGAAGGTGCGGGGCTAAGCAGGGCCCCCAAGAGTGGGCTAGGGTTTAGGGTTGAGAAGTGCGGATTTTACGCATTCTGAGTGCATTTTGGATTAGAACCCGTCGTGAGCTTTTTGGTGCTTCTTTTCTGGGAGGGCGGTGTTCGTTGCGTTTCAGGGGTTGGGGGCTTGGGGCCTGCGGCTGGGGAATAACAGTTCGGGGTTGAGGGTTCCGGGTTTGGGTTCAGCTAGGGTGCTCAGGATTTCGTACTTGGGCCCGCGTTTTTGAACATTAACGGATGTGGCTGGCAGCCCAATCGAGCGCCGGCCACGAAGCAATCTTTGAAGCTCCAGGAGGCACTGAGTCCAAAACCTCAAACCCCAAACTCCCGCCTCCACGTGTGGAAAGCTCAGCTCTTAGTAGGTGATCTGTCGTTGTTTGTTGATGAGCTCGCGCGCTTGGGAGCATTTGGGCGCAGTCAAGAAGAGTGGCAAAGCCCTCAACCCTCATACTCTAATGCCCAAAAACATAACGCCATGAACCCCAACACCCGAGTACCCCAAACTCCCGAATACCCTGAAACCCTAAACCCTAAACCCTAAACCCTAAACCCTAAACCCTAAACCCTAAACCCTAAACCCTGAACCCAAGGGCCGCCATGTTGGTCAAAGCAACAGGTGCGATGCGAGCTCCAAACCCTGTAGACCCTATCAACCCAAGTCTAAACCCTCAACCCTGAAATTCTTCTTAGAAACTATGAGCCCTCAACCCTAAGCTCAAAATCCTAAAGCCTAGGCCCCCGTAACCCTAATCCGTATAAACCCGATATCGAAACCCGATAAACCCTAAACCCTAAACCCTAAGCCCTAAACCCTAACCCTAAACCCTAACCCTAAACCCTGACCCTAAACCCTAACCCGAAACCCTAAACCCTAGGACTCTATACACCCCATGCCGCATCAACTCGACCCAGTGCCATGGATGAGCTCCACTTTGGGAGCACTTTGATCCACTGAGCTCAGGGAATAAGGCCTTGAGGGAGTTGGGCAATAAAGCTACCCTAAACCCTAACCCTAAACCCCAAATCCTAAACCCTGAAACCTAAACCCTAAACCCTAAACCCTAAACCCCTATCTCTGGCGCTTCAGGAGTTGGCTTTGGATTTCGGTGCTCCCTATAGACTCTAGGCCCTCTAGCCCTGCTCTATACCAGCCTGAGCCCCAAAATCCTTTACATCGCAGTGGGCTCAGGATTAGGGGTTACATAAGGGTTAATAAACGCGCACTTAACCGTCTCACCGGAATGTCAGCCAGCTGCGTCCGGCTCCGGCTCCAAGCCAAAGATAGAGCTGGCCTGCGCCATGGGCTTAGGAAAAAGCCCTAAACCCTAAACCCTAAACCCTAAACCCTAAGTCCTAAACCCTAAACCCGAAACCCTAAACCCCAAGAGAATACACCCTGAAATCGGAGGACCAAGCCGTGAAGACAAGTCCCGCCTCCAGCATCGAGGTGCGCCTGGCGGAGTGCTTCCCTCGAGGCCCAGCTTCCAGCTTCTCAAGGGATTCAGGGCTTAGGGTTTAGGGTTTAGGGTTTAGGGATTCTTCAAGGGCTCTAGGGGTTTTCGGGGGGGGGGGGGGGGGGGGTTTCGGGTTTTCGGGATCTCGGGCTTCAGAGGGCTTCGGGGGGGTTCATGGGCTTTATGGGGCCTTAGGAGGATTTATGGGGGTTTGAGGGTTTCGTGGGTTGCGGGTTTAGGCGTTTAGGGTTTTATGATTTCAGGGCTTAGTTCTTTGCAGGGCGCAAGAGATTAGGGCTTCGCACCCGCCAAGTTGTCGCCTCGCAACTTCAAACCCGAAACCTGTGCTTTGGGGGTTTGGCGGTGGTTGAGTCTGAGAGGGCTTGGGGTTCAACCTTGTCTCTATGTGCGGAAGGCTCTTTGGGCTGGAGAATCAGGGACACACGCTTCAAGTACTGCCTGAGTTTGTTGCTGGTGCAGGCAGACGCTCAGCCATGGCCACACAAAAACCAAAATCCTATACCATCTTACGCCTGCGCATGCAGAATTGCCATCGCTATGCCTCCCAAAACCGCCAAGCCCCCAAAGCCCAAACCCGAAACCCTCCAACAAATGGAATCATGATGTTTCACAAACCCCCACTAAACCCTAAACCCTAAACCCTAAACCCTAAACCCTAAACCCTAAACCCTAAACCCTAAACCCTAAACCCTAAACCCTAAACCCTAAACCCCCCCCTACCCCCTCCCCCACAAAAGAGCAAGAGCCCAACTGCAGGCCGGCCGAGCCGAAAGAGCCGGCCCTGAAAGGCTTCGTCCTGGATCTCCTGCCGATGCATCGCATTGGGGGGGGGGGGGCGTTCTCCAAATTGGGGGGTTTAGGGTTTAGGGTTTAGGGTTTAGGGTTTAGGGTTTAGGGGTATCTCAAATAGTCGGTGCCGTATGAGGAGTACCCAAAATGGGGGGCCATAATTGGGCCACAATTGACCCCAATCCCCCTCGCCGTCGCTGGTTCTTTTTGGAGAGGGTTGTAGGAAGGGTTAAAAACGAAGACAGGGTCCCCAAAGTAATGAGGCAAAGCCAGCAAGCAGGACAAGCCACCAGAGGGTTTCGGGCGCAGGCCCTAAACAACCCACTTAACCCACGCAGCACTAACCCAAACAACTCCGACCTGAAAGCCTAAAACCTAACCATATACCCCTAAATGGAGATTTCCGAGATTGAGGGGTCCCTCATTTTGGCCCGTTTGAGAGGACTTGGGGGGCCCCACTACTATAAACCTTAAACCTTATACCCCTAAGTCCTAAAACCTCTCCACCCCTGGAAGCACCAAACCCCTGAACCCTGAAAGCCCAAATCCCTAAGCCCTACGGCCCCAAAAGCCCAAAACCCCTAACCCTTTAAGAGACACACTGGCAGGTAGCAAGACCTGAAAACTGCAGAACAACAGTCGAAAACTTGATAAACCCCAAACCTTGAACCCTCAACCCAGACCCTTTGATTGTGGGTGGCTCCCAAAACCCCTCTGAAAGCTAAACCCCAAAGCCCAAACCCCAAAACCCCAAAACCCCAAAACCCCAAAACCCCAAAACCCCAAAACCCCAAAACCCCAAAACCCCAAAACCCCAAAACCCCAAACACCAAACCCCAAACCCCACCCAAACCTAAACCCCAAACTTCAAGCCTAAACCCTAAACCCTAAACCCTAAACCCTAAACCCTAAACCCTAAACCCTAAACCCTAAACCCTAAACCCTAAACCCTAAACCCTAAACCCTAGCCCTAAACCCTAAACCCTAAACCCTGAACCCTTTTCGTGCACAGAAGGGCTCCTCCAAGGTTCGCCCCTTGGTCTCCGGCACCGTCACGCGCGTCAGCAGCCAGGCTACCTCCAGCGCAGCTTGCAAGGTTCCCAGGCTTGAGGAACTCAGGGTTTAGGGTTTAGTGCTTAGGGCTTAGGGGGTTTAGGGTTTAGGGTTTAGGGTTTTAGGGTTTTAGGGTTTTGGGGTTTTGGGGGTTTGGGGTTTAGGGTTTTGGTTTTGGGGGGTTTGGGGTTTAGGGTTGTTTAGGCTGGTGTTGGGTTTTATGGGATTTGGGGTGGTGTAGGGTTCATGGGATTTTAGGATGGTTTATCCTGGTGGCACATGAACTGGACAGGCTGGATGATGTCATCACATGCTTTTGCAACGGGAGGCTGGCAGGCAGATGGCGGTTTGTGAGGTCTTTCCTCGTTCCTGTTGAAAAACCCTAAGCCCTAAACTCCCTAAACCCTAAACCCTAAACCCTAAACCCTAAACCCTAAACCCCAAACCCTAAACCCCAAACCAGGGGAATCAAGGGCACTGCTGGGCATCCTGGGCCCTGCTATTGCCCGCCATGTCTGGAAGCCCTACCGGACTCAACCTAGAAACCCAAAACCTCTGCCAATCGAGAATGCACACGAAACAACACACTCTCCCCAAGTGAGAAAACACCCACAATTGGACAATGACGCTGCGAGCCCTTGCCCCCAAACACAACCACGTTGAGTGCTTAGCGTACCCCAGCGGTGCCTGCGCGCTCAATGCGTACATGGACAGGACGGTGAAATGGCCCCTCCGTGGGACGGCTTTGGGCGTGAATCCCAAAACCCTGGCCCTAGACCCTGAACCCTATTCGGCTAGCATCTTTCCTAGACAAGCACTCCGATGCGCTATGAAAGGCGGGGCAAGTGACCAGACCCTTGAAGAAGCTCTCGGGATCTCTGGAGGGATCGAGGCTCAGGGAGCCTTAAACTCAAAAAGGGAGTTGAGAATTACCCCCCTGCCTTGGACACTCCACTCCTCCCTGAAGCTGAAGGACACCCTAAACCCTTTACCCTAAACCCTGTAATATCCCACCCCCACCTGGAGATGAGAAGCGGATGGAACCTGAGGCGGGGGTGGGGCTTTAGGCTTTCAGGGTTTAGGGTTGGACAGGGTTCTATAGGACATATGGGCGGGTCAAAGTCCATCGTAGTTTTCGACGCGTGCTTGACCGAGAACCTGTTGGCGTTTATAAGAGATCCCCGACAGAACGAGAAGGACTCAAGTACAAAGATTTAAGGTCGAAAGTGTATCTACCAAGTACGAGCCCCTAAGCCCTAAACCCTGAGATCGATTACTGAGGCCGCTTCCCGTTTTGGGTACGCAAGATGCTGAGGATGGAGCCTTCGGGTTTAGAGTTCTAGAGTTGCAGGTTGTAGGGATTCCGGTGTAGTCTTTGGTTTAAGGTTCAGGGCTATGTAAGGTTTTGTCCACGGCTGCCTACGTCAACCCCGAACCTAAATCCTATAAACCCTATGACCCTCGAAATCCACAAAAATGCTGCCCAGCTGCTGCACGGACAGCAGGGTGAACGTGGAGAACGTGGCTGCGGCGATAGCACACCCTCTGGCGCGCATGTCCGACCTCAGCTGGGGCTCGCGGAGTCGGAGGGGTTTGCGCGCGTAGCATGGTATAGGGTGGACAAGCTAAATTTTGGTTTGCGAGTATGGAGGATGATGGAGGTCCATGGCATACATCTTGGAGAAGAAAGGAAACGAGGCATCGGATGCAGGAGGCTTGGGCAAAGTGTAGGGTTTGCGCAACAGCACGGCTGGGGCCGCAAGAGCCTCATCACCAACATTTGAAAACGGGGGACCTCGCAGCATGCAACTGCACATCTGGAAGCTCAGGTGAGGACGGATACATCTCTGACGACACGATCCACGTCACGGGCCCGACTGCTCCTTGGTAAATGGCCTGCAGGCATACACGAAACGCAGGCCCCCCAAGCCCAAGCCCCCCCCCCCCCGCCCTGCCACCAATCGAACCCACTGGTGCTGGGGTGTCCATCCCCAAGCAGCAAATCCACATGCCCAGAACAGGGCTCCAAAAAAGACAAACAACAACCCTCATCTGCAATTGAACCATCCTCAGACCTAACCCCAAATTGCCCAAATTCCCTAATAATTCCCTAAACCCCAAACCGCTGACCTGCGAGGCCATCAGGCCGACGCCAGCCAGCGTGGGGCCTGGAGGCACGTCCCAAGCACCAGGGGAGAATAAACGAACACAACCAACAAAGGGCTCAGGGCTTGGCAGAGTTTAGGGTTTAAGTAGGGTGTTGTGTTTAGGGTTTGGGGTTTAGGGTTCAGGGTGTAGGGTGTTGGGGGTTAGGCTGGTAGGCTTAGGGTTAAAGCCACAAGGACACCCCCACAGAGCAGCAACAGCAACCCTAAACCCTAAACCCTAAACCCTAAACCCTAAACCCTAAACCCTGAACCCTAAACCCTGAAACCCTAAACCCTAATCTGGGCGGCCCCTGCTGTGAAGGCCAAGGCCCAGCGCTGCCACACCGTAGCTCGCGGTAACCTCTTCCGGTTGTTGGGGGGCGGGGGGGGGGGGGATTTTAGGGCCCATGGGGGGTTTTTAGGGCTTAGGGTTTTTCAGGGGTTCAGAGTTTAGGAGTTTAAGGTCGGGGGGTTTAGGGTTTAGGGGTTCACGAGCCAGGGTTGAGGGGGGGGCTGGGTAGGGGGTGTCGGGTTTGGGGTTTTGCCTTTGGAGCCTCGGGTTGACGTAGTCATGACACGGTTTCAGGATTGGGGGTCTCTGGTTTGGGTTGAGGACTCCGGATTGATGACTTGCATTTTGCAGGGGTCTGGTTGTCGGGCTTAGTATTTCGGAGCCTGCAGCGTTTACGGCCTAAACACTTGTAGGATTCAAAGTTTTGGGGTTTTAGAGTCCGGGGTCAGCTTGGAGGGGGGGGGGGGGGTTATCAGAAGATTTGGCCCCCCTTCGGGGCAAACCTGAAGCAATCCCTAAACAATCCTCTCAATGGGCCCTAAACCCTAAACCCTAAAAACCCAAGCAACATAAACCCTAGAAACCCTAGAAACCCTGGAAACCCTAGAAACCCTAGAAACCCTAGAAACCCTAGAAACCCTAGAAACCCTAGAAACGCTAGAAACCCTAAAAACCCTAGAAACTCTAGCAACATAAGCCCTAGAAACCCTACAACCCTAGAAACCCCCTAGAAACCCCTAGAAAGCCCTAGAAGCCCTACCTAAAGCCCATAAGAACCCTGAGCCCCGCACCCCGGAGAGGCCGTAGGAGAGCAGCACACGTCGGCCCACCGAGTCGAGCCACAGGAAGCTCGGGAAGGCCATGACCTGAGAGGGGCGGTTTGAACCACCAAAAAAGCACTCAGAGCTTATGTTTTTAATCACCAAAAAAGCGCTCAGGAGCTTAGGTTGGGGGCGGTTTTTGGGGTGTTTTGGGGGGTTGGGGGTGGAGGGTTTTTGGCGTTTGGGGTGTTCAAGGAGCTTAGGTTCAGGGTGTCTAGGTTTTGGGGTGCTTGGGGTTTAGAAGGTGTAGGGCTTAGGTTGTGGAACTGATGCGTTTAGGGCTTGGCAACTCACATGTAGGGTTGCGCTGCAGGATCCTCGCAGGTCTTGTGTTACGTCAGTGCCTGGGCCAGACCGAACAGTATCGACCCTCCCTCGAGGTCTGAAGGAATGGAGTCCTCTTGTGGTTGAGGAATGTCCAGCCATCTCCTTTGCTTCCTCATCCCCCGGCTGCAAGCTTCAAGATTCATCCACTGAAGCCCTGCACCCACTCGCTACTAACGCACCCGAAACACAGGAACACACAGAGATAGGCCATCCCTGGTAACTCGACCCAAGGAAAGAAAAAGCTTGGGCTTCTAGCTTCCCAGGCCCCTCACACACATTTTGTCTGTTATGGGGTGGGAGGGGTTCAGACCCTACTGCCCTGCTGAGCTAGGCACAAGCTTGACGCCATACCTCGCAGCTAGGGTGGATCTGAGACGGCGTGGGGATCTGGGAATCTAATCTAGCGAAAGCTTTGGCATACCAGATTGTTTCCCTGTCTTTTGAACGGATCCGAGGCCATGTGGCCTTTTGGGTCTCTCCCGTCCCAAGCCCTACCGACCCTACCCCTGGATTTGCTGACTTCGCCGCTTGTCTTCGCAAGTGCAGGGCATAAGTTTTCAGGCTTTGAAAGGGAACTTCGGGGCTTCAGGGAACTTAGGTTTTTTCCGCGCACGTGTGGGATGAACTGTGGGGGCTGCCAGTATTGTGCGAACAACAGATCAGAACACCAAGCTTCCCTGACACCCTGGGTCTACACCTTTCAACCATCCCCACTTGCTTCAATAACAAGGAGCTTCTGAGTGAACAAATAAGAGCAGTTCAAACCAATTCGGAAGTGGCAGTACGAGGGTTAGGCTGTCTCTGCCGCGCCGCAAGCTCACCGCCAAGGAAGCTGCGTCCGGGTAGCCGAAGCCCACCATGTGAAACATCCTGAAATCAGGGTTGAAATCTGAAAAGGCAGGTAGGTATCCAGACCCTGAACCCTAAACTCTAAACCCTAAACCATAAACCATAAACCCTAAACTCTGAATCCTATTGAACCCTAAACCCAGCCTGACGCCTAACGCCTAGAGCCAAGTCACAACACCCCATAAGGCCAAGGCGCTGCCCAGCGTAGTTCAGAAGGGCCTCAGAGCCTGCCAGGATGTTTCAGAGGCTTCTAGGAAGTAGGATTTCCGCCTCAATCTGTTTCTCACGAGAATACTCCAAATCACAAGACAAGTGCCACAATGGAAGTCATGGTTGTCTACCGCCGGCTAGCTCCCAAAAGGTTTGAGGATGTTGTTGCTACAGTGCTATTCCAGCTGTCGTTCTTCTTGTTTACCAGTCACTTTGGCTTCTGACCTTCGGCCCACTCTGCTTCAGGCCACTTCAGGGGGCCAGTTGAGAGGATACCAAGGGCGGTTGCAGACAACACCACGGGACGCAAACCCTGGTAATATGCATAGCAAAGGAAAGCTCAGGCACAAATTGGGGCGTGCATAGTTGAGAGGCCTGAGAGTGCAGGCAGCGTGTTGGCCGCGCAGCCGGCGAGGAGGAGGCGCAGATGCACAGGGGACCTGCGACGGGCTAAGGGCTTGGGGAATTGAATTGGTTGCTGAACCTAGATCGTGGGCCTGCTTTGGGTACCCTGAATTTGAAGGCGAACAGGACCCAAATGATGGTACCCAATTTAGGGAAACGGCCGTCATGTGCCGACCAGGGGATGTGAGGTTGAGGGATAAAAGGGCAGCCACACAAAAGGAGCCCTTATTTCAAAAAATGCCTAAAACCTAAACTAGTTTCAGGCATGACATCCGCCACATCCAGAACCAGACTCTCACCCACGTGACTTCCCAAGCCACCCCCCAACTTCACGCGCTGCCCCCCTCTTTAAGCTTACTTGCGAAGTTACCCTTGATGAGCCTTACTTCTGGGAGAAGCTTGGCGGGTGTTCCCAAAAACCGAAACCCTATGATGACAAGGGCGACTGCCCAAAGCCCAGGCGCTTGAAGATCTGCGAGATTGGCAGCTCCTCCTGCCACCACTCCTGGTCTCTTCAAGGGCGGAACCCCGAAATATTCCACCTTGAACCCCCCGAATCCCAAAGTCCTAAACCCTCAACCCTGAAGCCCAAACTCCAAACCCCAAACTCATGAAACCACACGCCCTGAACTGTATAATACCTCTTGACCCCAAACTCAGACCCTGAAACCCCCAACTCTGAACCTCGAAGCCCGGAACCAGGAAGAAGAGCATTCAAACTTCAATCATCAAACCAACCTGTCTTGGGGTTCAGGGTCTTAAGGCATACCTTGCACTTGTAAGGGGCTATGGCCCATCACATCATAACCTAAAACCCAATAAAGCCCAAAGCCCCTTCAACTCCGAGTTCACAGACCAACCCTCGAACCCCTGTATTCCCGAATTCCTCAAACCCCTAAACCCCTAAACCCTAAACGGCCTAAACCCTGAACCCCAAACCCTAAACCCTAGACGCCCTAAACCCTAGACCCTAGACGCCCTAAACCCTAAACTTTAAACCCTAAATCCTAAACCCTAAGCCCTAGACCCTAAACCAACAAAAAAAGAAACAGCTTCCCTTGGATGGCTCCTGGGTGCCCGCGGCGCTGGGGGACCCCGACGCAGATGCGGCGCGGCCGAGGAGGTTCAGCTCAGAGATGTACCTGAAAAAAGCTTTGGGGGTTTAGGGTTTAGGGTTTAGGGTTTGGGGTTTGGGGTTTGGGGTTTGGGGTTTGGGGTTTGGGGTTTAGGGTTTAGGGTTTAGGAGCCCTGAAACCCCAAAACTAAACCCGAAGCCCCGAAAGCCATAAAAAAGCCCAAATTCCTGAACGACCTGGGAGCTCTACCAAGGCAGGGCCTTCGGGATTAGGATTTGACAAGTTCCACCGTTGAGGGGTTTAGGATTTGGGGGTTTTAGCCTTTCGGGGGTTATGGCAAGTTTGAACGGTTGAAGGGTTAAAGGGTTCAGGGCTTTGGGGCTGTTGGGCTTCAGGGTGCCTGGGAGTTCCGCCTTTCAGGTTGCCCGGTCTCACAGGCCTCCTTTGGTTTCAGGGTTCAACTTAAGGGTTTTGTGTTCAGGCGTGCAGGGGTTTCAGTTGAGGGTTTAGGAGGGCCGCGCAAGTAAAGTTAAAAAACTGCGAAGGGCGTTGAAAGCCTTACTGTCCTCACACAAGGGGTTTGTCGTCACTTCCAGCTGCCTGCAACACTGAACAACACTGTGTGAACCGCTTGAAGCAGGAGCTCGCTACTGGAAGCCCCAGTGTCTTCGAAAAGCTCGCTCCTCACTGAACCACGGTTTAGGGTTTAGGGTTTAGGGTTTAGGGTTTAGGGTTTAGGGTTTAGGGTTTAGGGTTTAGGGTTTAGGGTTTAGGGTTTAGGGTTTACCCCTTCAACTCTAGAGCTGCCAGCTCCAGACGACTCTAACGTACAGGCTGCAAAGCAGCCAAAGTCCCTGACCGGAACCTCCAAACACCCTGAACCCTGTTGGCTGCAAAACATCCAAACATCCGCTGCGCCCTATCCATCCCCCCCCCCCCTCCCCCCCAACACAAACAGTCCCATTCCCTAAGCCCCCTGAACCCCAAACCCCACAACCCGAAACGCTAGACGATAAACCCTGAATCCCGAACTTGACGCCGAGCAACGTCCGCTCGATGCCATCCAGCTCCTGTGCCACGAGTCACGAAGCCCAAAAGCTGCCGAACCATACCCCTCCCCCCCCCCGGTCAGGGCTGCTTGCATACCAGCCAAAACAACGCGATCCCTTTGTTTCAATCGCAGGTACAGCTCATCTTCCCCTGCAATAACCTGAAGCATCCAACATTCGATTCGGCGATCTATAGCTCAAATGTCGACAACCTGTTAGAACGCCAAGGCTGCTTTCAGGGCTTCTTTTCGGTTTAGGGCTGCCGCAGATGGATCCTGCAGCATCGCCGCATCTGCGAACTCCAGCCCACGGATCTGGCACATGGTACCTAAGGCGGGCGGTCAGTGTCTGTCCAGATGAGTTCGTAGGTTTCGGCGGCTTAGGGCTGGTTGGGATCGGGAGGGGTGTGTGTTCCAGACGGCCGGCGAAACAGGTATCTGTCACTCCAAAAGAACCCTCAACCCTAAACCCAAAACAAAGAAAACTAATTTGGAGCAACCCCCCAATTACGAGGCTTCAATCAGGGTTCAGGAGTCAAAGATATCCCTTAGGATTGACTTTCGAGCCATGATCGTTTGAGGCCTGTTCGGTTAGGGTTTGGCGTTGAGGAGATTAGGGGTTTGGAGGCCACCCCAATAAACTTAGAGTTTTGATGGGCCGATAGTAACCCGTTCCATGTAAACAATACGAAGATCTATAGAAGAAAGACCGCCCGCAACAGCCTAACCTAGAGAGGGCCCCTCGCACTTGTGTCGCCGCCCGAGTGGCTGAGTGCGTCCCGCCGTGCTGCCTGCGAGCACGTTGGTGCTGTTCTGTGGCGGCTGGGTTTAGGATTTGGGCAAAAAGCCCTGAGTCCTCATCTGCCCTGAACCTTTGGTGGGGAAGGAGGGAATGAGACACCTGCATGGCCCCGGCAGGATGTGCAACCGCGCAGGTCCGAAAGCATAAAATCCAAAGCCAGCCCTCTCCCCCTGAATATCAGTCCCCCCCACCTGCCACCCAACCTCAATTCTACCTTAACCAGGGGGCTAAACATCGCGAGGAGGGGAACTGTCGAACCTGCGACCATGAGTCCCCAGCCCCTTTTAAAGGGCTTAGGGAAGTTTAGAGTTTTGGGTTAGGGTGCAAGGCTTAGGTTCCCACACCCCCAAAACCCTGAACCAAAGGCCTACTAAAGCCCAACACTCTCGCCTCGAGCACTGCCATGAGACGGCGCTGGGCAGCCTTCACAATCGGGTCATCTCTCTCTCTGTCTCTCTGTCTCTGTGGGAGGTTAAGGATCACTTTGGACCCTTCTGGGGTTCCCCGCGATGATAATACGGAACAATGTATTTAGGATGTCCCCAAAGGGACAATGCGTTTAGAGGACTGCCCGCGAAACGACCGCAGCAAAGCTGCTGCGGTCTATGCCATTCGCGTCCCCAGACCACTCCCCTCACTCTCGGATGGCCCTAAGAACTCCCCATCCTTCATCGAAAAAAAGCATGGCAAGATGAGGGCCTATAGAGCCCTAAAAAGCCCTTGTTAAATACTATGCCTTACGCTAAACCCTTAGCCCTCAACCTTTAACCCTACATTAAAAAAAAAACCAAAACCCAACAACTCTTGGGCTTACGGGCTGAGGATAGAACCTCTGGCGACTCGGACCGCTGCTCGTTGGCCGTCCGGGCGGCGCGGCGGTAGATAGACCTGACGGGGTCGAGGGTTCGGAGTTTCTAGGGTTTAGGGTTTGTGGCTTGAGGTGTTTGCGGTCTAAAGCTTACGGGGCTTCGAGGGCTTTTAGCGTTTAGGGTTTACAGCGGTTGATATAGTATAGGGTTTGGAGAGTTTTTCGGATTACAGAAGGGCGGAAAATGCTTGCCGTAGGGCTTTTAGCACCTCGGCAGCAATACGCCACCCAAGCTGCCCCCCTCCCCCCCCCGCACCCCTTCGTCTCAACTCCACACTAAACTCGAACTGCACCCTAAAGCCGCCCAATTCTACAGCATCAGCCCCCCCAAAAGCATCGTCGGGACGCAGCTCAAAACCCCCCGCAAACCTGAAGCAAAGTCCATGTGAGCTCCCCGAGCTCCCCGAGCTCCCCTGAGGCCCTTACCGGGGGGTGTCCGGCATTCGTAGCCTCAGCTCTGGCTCTTAGGGGTCTATAGGGGGGGATATAATCGGGGTTTGGGCTTGAAAGGTTGCGTAGGGCTTTAGGTTGTCGATCATGATACCCAGAACCGTGGATCCCAAACCTCAGAAGCCCCCAAGCAGGGGCCTGGGCTCAGCAGGGGGGGTCCAAGTATGTAAACTTGCGGATCTGTGGCTGGAGGTCCCGGATTAGGGGAAGAAGTATATTATTCGTAAACGGAGCGACCTTTGGAATGGTTGGGGTTTAGGGTTTTGGGGGCGCTGCTTAGGGCTGTTGGGACTCTGAACCTGAACTGATCTTGAGGCGGTTGCAGGAGGATCCCAATACAACTGCCTCTAACTACCCCCACCTGAGTGGCTGATCCACACGATACGCCCTTTCTGGCATCCTGAACCCTATAATATCGGGAATGAACAATCGCAGCGGCCCCATAAAAACGTACAAACAAACTCCTCATAAACCCTCAAAACTCGCCTACACCTCCCTCCCCTCTGCCAAAAAGCATGGTCAGGACCGCCAGCAGGCCCAACGGTGACGCGAGGCCCCAGGTCGTGCGCCTTCTCTCTCGCGAAAGCTTTGAGGGTTTTCAAGGGTTGCAAGCGTGTTCTTTTTCTGATTTAATGCGCTAAGGAGGTCATGGCTAAGGCCGCCCTACCTCCTCTGCCAAGGAACCCTATTTGAACCCACGCTTCAAGCCCGAGGCAACCCGAAATCCCACTTGGAGCCGTCAAATGCTGGGGTTGGGTCTTGCCGGGTTTCAGGCCTCAACCCTGGCGAGGCCTATGCCCCAGGAAAGGGGAAATGTGCTTTCATTGTGAGATGGGCATGCTTATTTCTTAAGGTGCAGGGTTTACTCATCCTAAAGTGGCTATTTTGTGGTGATTCCGGGCCTCAGTCATCGCGAGTAAACCCTGGACCCTTTATGCTTGGTAGGGTTTACCACAGCCCTACAAACCCTGAACCCTGACACCTACACAGTAGAAACTAAATCTCATAGGCCCCATTAGCCCGTAAACCCCAAACACGACTCTCCGTTGCAGACGAGGCACCACCCCCCTTTGAGCCGAAGGAAGTGCTGTCCTCAAGACTCGCGACTTGCGGAGGAAGCCAAGAACTCATAAACCCAAAACCTCAAAAACCACTAAACCTCAAAAACCCGAAGCCTCATCAGCCCTAAACTCTAGAGCCCTGTATCCCTAAACCCGAAGACATGTCAAACACTCAACTCTGAAGCTCTCTACCACTGCCACCAGAAACCCTAAAGCTCGCAAGCCCTGCATGCTAAAACCCTATCCCTACGTCAACCCCGCAGCTCAAAAGCAAGAAAACCCAAACCTTCAACAACTGCATCAAATCCCGAAGCCTAGAGGCCACATCCGTCTATGTGGTTCACACTGTCGGGCTCATAGAAGGCTCACGAGGGGGTGGTGGGGGGGGGGGGAGGGAGGGAAGGGGAGGGGAGGGGAGGGGGCTACCGTTTAGGCTTGGGGTTGGTCACGGTAATTCGAGCTGAATTTGGGTTTGTAGGGTTTTAACACTTTATGCCATAAACCGCAAAAACGGATTCCAAAAAGGGTCCAAAACGGGCTCCAAAATTCGCGGTTGGGCCTCGATTCCCAACGAAGTCCAGAAGGTTCCCAAACGGTTCAAAAACGCATTTTCTAGCTTCCAGCCAAGCCTCACAGCAAAAAAAACAAGATGCAAGCTTATCGGGCTTAGTTAGGGTTTACTTAGGGAGTGGGTTTGACTAGGCCCTACACATGCGACTTAATGGCAGAAGCCCTAAGCCCTAAGCCCGAAGCCCTAAGCCCTAGGCCCTAAGCCTTAAAAACCCTAAGCCTTAAAAACCCTAAGCCTTAAAAACCCTAAACCTCAAAAACCCTAAACCTCAAAAACCCTAAACCCCAAACCCCCAAACCCCCAAACCCCCAAACCCCCAAACCCCTAAACCCCTAAGCCCTGGCCAGCAGTCAGGGAACCTACCAAAGCTCCCACAAAGGCGCCGGACACAAACGTCGTCTCCTCCAGAGAATGAGATTGCAGGGTGTGGGATGCAGGAACCGTGCACGCCTTGAAGCCCTAAACTTGAAGTCTTGAAGCTCTGCTATTAAGTATGGAGGAAATGATGCTTCCCCATATTTAGTCTCCTCCAGATTAAATAAAATCTGTCCAACATCGAGTAGGTTGTAAGCTTGAAACCTAAAACCCTGAAGCCCGGAAGGTTAAGCCAGGAAACCGGAAACTTTTAAGCAATCTGGGATTCACTGACTTGGGACAATGAGACCCTGAGAGCTCAGAGAGATTAGGGGGACTCTCCTAGAGTTTAGATGATTCTGGATGCGAATCTTGACTGGCTGCACTCCAGCCAAACCAGATCTCAATGTGGGCTTGGGATCTGGGCATGCGAATTTTAAGACCTACAACTTATATGGTTTGGAGCGCCAAGATCATGATCTCCGTCCAGTGTACGAGTTTGTTGCAGTACCTGCCAGGTTGAAGACCTTTTGGGGGCTTGCAGGGTTTAGGGTTGATGGGGTACAGGAGTTTTGGCTTAAGGACATAGACCTTCGGGATCAGGGTTTAGTGATTCCGTGACTGGGGCTGCAGTGGCGCAGCTGTCAAGCCCTAAACCTGAAACTCACCCCGAAGAGCATGGGATTTTTGGGCTTCGGGCCTAGGGATTTTACGGTGACCGTGTCGAACAGGAACTTGGTTTCTCCTGCACCGCGATGGCGCCACCTGTCGGTTGGGCCCAACCAACTCAGACACCTAAGCAATCTAAGCAACACCTATAAGTCCTAAGTTCAACCCTCAACATCGACCCTGAAGGCTCAAGACTTCTTCAATCTCTGCAGGTTCGGAGTTTAGGGGCCTTGCGGGCAAGGGGGGTTTGGAGTGGAGGGAGTGCGGGTTGTGTGAATTACAAGCCTATGCCCCTAAGCTACTTCTGAGGCATTTTGAATTCCCTACACTTCACAAGTCACAAGCTACCTTTATGCCAACTTTGCGAACCAGTTCAAAGCCTGATGCCCATGCACTTGCTGGGATCCCTCCCCTTCTCTCTCTCTCTCTCTGACTCTCTCTCTCTCTTTTTTGGTTTTCTCTCTCTCTCTCTCTCGTTATCTTTATTTTTCTTTCTCTTTCTCTCTCTTTCTTTCTCTTTCTGGCATTCTCTCTCATTCTCTCTCTCTCTCTCTCTCGCTCTCTCTCTCTCAATCTCTCTCTCTCTCTCTCTCTCTTTCTCTCAACTGTTGCCCAAAATGCTCTGCTCCCTGGTACGGTTCAGCATGTGATGTGATCCACCCCAATTAGGTTCCCCTGACCCAAGCCCTAATGTGTATGGTTTTTTGGGTACCTCAATTGTCATGGTCACAGTAGAAGTGGAGCCCATAAGTTCGTGCACTGAACATCCTGGCCTCGAAGCTTCTTTGTAAGGTCCTTTGCCATTTGCTCACCCAAACTCAAAACCCTGAACGCTTTACTTTTTTTTCAAACCCTAGACTAAAAGCCCAATTCTGAAGCCGCAAAAGATTCAGAACCCCCGCGAGCCACCCTAACCCCTAAACCCTTTTCTCTAAACCCTCTTAGCAGCTATGGGCTTAGGGTTTAGGGTTTAAGGGTTTAGGTTTTTGGGGACCCCTGTGGGAACCTGCCTCGCGCATTGGGGGGCGCAATTTCGCTGATGTACTGCGACACGGCCACGCCGTTGAGTCCAAGACCGAAGCCGTTGATCAAGCCTCAGCACATCAAGGGCTCCAGGGTTGTAGCCCTCAACCCTAAACCCTAAACCCTAAACCCTAAACCCTAAACCCTAAACCCTAACCCTTGAAACCCCAAACCCTAAACCCTTAAAACCCCTTGTTCCCCCTGAGTTGACATGCGCGACCACTCAAAACCGAAAACCGAGCGGCGACCCAGGATGAGGACCCAAAGTTGCGGAGCCATGGCCGTCAGGAGGCTTCCGATGGCCTGCTTGGTTAAACAGTTTAGGGCTTTAGTAACTTCAGAGGTTTGAGGGTTTTGGGCTTTTTTGTTCGGGTGCTGTAGGATGTTTAGGGTTGCGGGCGTACTTGCGTTGCATGCTGGAAAGACGTTTGTGCTTTTAAGGCCCTAAACCCTACACCCTAAACCGATTGGAGCCGATTGGGAGTGCTTAAGAAGGCTGAGGGCGATGGTGTCGACTTTCTATTCCCCTGGTTGCAGCGGTCTTTGGATTTTAGATCTATTTTTGTGCTTTTGTTTGGGGTGGGGGGGGGACTCGGGCTTTTGGGGATTTCGGGAGAGAGCGGGCGGGAGGGAGAGCTCCGTTTTCATCCCCAAACACGCCCAATAAGGTCAAAACCCAGAAAAAGGAGAAAGCTGCGGTGGATGCGGGATTTGTTTGCGTAGCCTGCCGTTCCAGGGGTATGAACGGTTAGACTGCAGGTATGGAGGCTTTAGGAATCTCAGGGTTTAGGGCCAAGCTTAGGGCTCTGAGGTTTATGGTATCATTCTGACATTTAAGCGCCAAACAAAGGTACGAGCTTGAAAGAATGAAAGCTTCTGTGCAATTGTCTCGCGCAAAACATGAAAGAGAATGAATCAAGGAGAGGCTTAAACACAGTCTGCAAGACCCAAGTCTTATGCTTTAAGGAGTCATCCTCAAATAAACGGGGGTCCGGGACCTGGATTTGGGGTTTTGGGGAGTTGTGTTATCCAGGCGAACCATCACAAATGAAGGAAGCTACCCCAAATCCTAAACCCTAAACCCTAAATCCTAAACCCTAAACCCCGGGAACCCCCAAACCGAGCCAGGCCAGGGCTGAATGCGCGCCTCTGATTGCAAGCCCCAAGCTTTACATCAGTCCCGAGCAGATCGCCCCGAGGTTGTACCCCTCAAGAAAGGCTTATGGTTTAGGGCGTTAGGGCTTTAGGGCTTTAGGGCTTTAGGGCTTAGGGCTTAGGGCTTAGGGTTTAGGGTTTAGGGGTTGAAGGTTTTAAGGTTTTGAGGTGCTTTAGGGGTTTAAGGGGTTTAAGGCTTTATAAGCTTTGCGGGTTTAGGGCCCAAACCTCCACTCCCCCTTCATTCTGCGGAAGCGCCTCAAAAATGCCAGCCACAATCAGAGCCTTGGGCAGTCGTGGCAATCCGAGTCCCCCCTGAACCAAAAAACCCGAAACCCAGCCAACCTGGACTCGAGGGCCCATATAGAGCCCCGAATCCTGAAACCCAAGAGCCTGGTTTTATCTGCAGGGCTTGGGGGCGTTTTGAATTTTCAAGGTTTAGGCTAGGCTTCCAGGTTTACGGCGTTGGGGGCGTTTTTGGGGTTCTAGGCTCGCAATCGCATTCTCGTAGTCCTTTCTGACTTCGACCCAGGCACTAGCCGTGGCGTGGGCATGTAGTAGCCTCAGCTGGAAGGCTCCCCAAAATGGGGGGTCGATCTTGCGTATTATGTATGTATTGGTAGTACTTGTGTACTATTACTGCACATTGTAAGTAGCAAATATTTGGGAGGAGGGATCCGTCGTTTATACATTCTTGGGCGGGCATTATCAGGAACCCTCAAAACCCCCTGCCCACGCATGGCAGTACAGCAATAGCCATAAAGCCATAAAGGACCAACAAAAGTCCCCAAACACCAACTGCAGATGCAAGAGCCGCAGGCTCGCCCGCTCTTTCCAATCAGCTTCAGAAGGAGTACACCACGATTCTGGCTTTTGGGTTGTAAGGATTGTTTGTACGCCCACAAAAGATGTGAACTTTGGGCCCATCACATTACATCACATTATGACAGATCTTCGGGCGGGGGCTTGCAAAGGGGTACTGAAGAAGCAGGGATTTTTTTTTTTGAGGGGGGGGCACTGCACACCCCTGAACCTTGCGGGCTTCGGAGTTTCAGGGCATCATAGCGGCTTACCTCGCTGAGCGAAAACTGGAAACTAAACCCTAGACCTCTATCCCCTCGGCGTTAAGCCCGTCTAAAGCCTCCCTAGAAACCCCTTGAAAGCCCCCCCCCCCCCCCCCAACACCCCCTAAAACATCCCCCCAAACCCTAAACCCCAAACCCCAAACCCCAAACCCTAAACCCCTAACCCTAAACCCTAAACCCCGAAGCCCCTTCAAGCCCAAGGCGCCGCAGAGGTTGCCGCCGATGTTCGACATCCAAGCCGAGGCCACGATCTCAGGTAGGGTTTAGGGTTTAGGGTTTAGGATTCAGGGTTCAGGGTTCAGGGTTTAGGGTTTGGGGTTTAGGGGTTAGAGTGATTAAGGCTTTTGGGACCTCAGGGTTTTGCAAGGGTTTACTCGGACCTCAGGAATTTAAGGATTTTGGGGGGTTTTTAGGGCTTAGGTTTTGGGGTTTTCGGCTTTCGGGTTTGGGATCTTAGGATTTCAGGGTTTTAGGGTTCTGTGGTTTAGGGTATGTACCGTTTTTGAGGGGTTTGATGGGCGTTTGGGTTTACTGGTTTCAGGGAAACTTTAGGGATGGTTTTAAGGGCCTTCGGGATAAAAAAAAATGTAGGCTCTTGTGGGTTTTGAGGTTGCAGTTTCTTTTTTTTTGGGGAGGGGGGGTCAGGGTTTACGTTCCAAAACATGTTGTAGGCTTTAATAAGAAGCTTCGAAGTTCAGTCCGGCAGGCCCATCCCTGCAGGAGCGGCCCCAATCTGCCGTGAATCTTCAGACCTGCCAGCTTTGCAGGGCGTGATGCGTTGGAACTTAAAGGGCCTAGTAAGGGCTTAGGGTTTATGACAGTTATAGGGTTCTGGGACCCTGAACTCTAAACTCTCAACTTTAAACTCGAAAAAGCTTAGGGTTTAGAGCTTTGGGGCCATGGCGACGTTGTAGTTCCCGAGGCTGGTGAGTCGCGGAGCACCAGCGTTTCAGAACTGCGCGATGCCAGCCCGAAACCAGAGACTCTGGACCAAACCCACAACCGGATCCCTGAACTCCAAACTCTCAACCCTGTACCCGAAACCCCACACCCCAAACCCCTACCCCCCGCCACCTAAACTCTAAACCCTATACCCGAAAGTTCTGAAACAGATCCGCAATGGCCTCTACCTCAAGAGTTGAAAAGCTTAGGGTTTAGGGTTTAGGTCCCTGAAAGGCCTCGCAGCGTCACAAGATTCTGCAGCGCGCCGCTGGCGGCGCCGTGGTCGTAGCCACCCAGGGCAGCCGAGAGGCCTCTTGATACGTTTGCTTCTTAACATGTGTTTGACCGCAGCAATTCTTGTCACTACTGGCATTATTCCTGCTGCTAGGACGAGTATTGTCATGATGTGTGCTGCTTCCTTTGGAAGGGTGTTAGGGTCTGCAGAGGCCGTTACGGCCAATGAAAGGATGTTGGTTCGAAGCGCTGTGGGGCTTATAGCCGCTACCGCTGAGGGCAGGAGTGGCCCTAAACCCTGAACCCTCAACCCAAAACCCTAAACCGTGTAATCCTCAAGCGTGTTGTGCCGCTACCCGCCGCGGATTTTGATGAATCCCACAGAAAGCTCCCTGTGAAAAGGCTCCTACCCAGCTTGCGTAGAGCTGACTCCCTGGAATCTTGAGAACCCTTCGCATGTTCAGAATATGGGGCAGCCTGGGGTTAAGGTTTAATTTTGGCATCCGGCCAGGGACGCGGAACCCCTTCTCCCCCCCACCCCACCCACAGCCCTCCAAAAAAAAACCTTGAACCCCAAGCCCTCAACCCCCCCCCCCCCCCCCCCCCCGTTCTGGCCTATGATGAGGCAGTTTGCAAAGAGGATGGGCGTAAAGTTCTGTGAGTCGACGGCGTCGGCCGTCCCTCGAGATGTACATGGGTCTTAGGGTGTAAGGATTCGGGTCTAGGGGTTTAGGGGGCGTAGCCGACAATATACTCCTGGCTTCCACGCATCGAGGGCTCAGACTTACATTTGTTAAAGGCTCGGCTGTGCAGGGTAGACCGGTTCAACCTTTCAATCATCCCCCAAGATGCATGGTTTGGTCATGAAGCAGGCTTTGAAACAAACACATACATCAGCAGGAAGAAAGTTTTGTCGCACTGGCATATCATGCGTTGGCGCAGGACTCGGAACACAAGCGAGTCTGTGGGGGAACGGGGTTAACAAGCACACGTTAGCAGAACTGCCCCTGGTCCGATTCGACGAACGTTCGTCCTCTCAATCCTAAACTGTTAGCGCTTAGGGTTTAGGATATAGGGCAGAGCATTTCAAGATGGGAACCCGGGTTTGGTGACTGGATTCATGAAACAAGGCCCAAATAAGGCTCCTTTCAAGCCTTGTGGGCTGCTTGGCGGGAGTGAGTGGCTGACTCCGGTAGAGGGGTGAACGCTGGGCACGAACGACCCCAAGCCCTCTGTAAAGTTCAAAACGCCCTACGTCAGCCAAACCCTACAACCCCTAACACCGCAAGAGTAAAGCCTGAAAACCCCAAACCAACAACCTCACGCCCAAAACCCTAATCCCTAAACTCTAAACCTTATAAATCCCCAAACTTTAAACCTTATAAATCCCTAAATTCTAAACCTCATAAATCCCTGAGCTCTAAACCTTACAAACCCCTCAAATAGACCCCTAAAGCCCCCCGCCTTGTGCAGTCTCCGCCTCGGCGCCCCCCAAGAGGCGGCCGCCGTAGCGGCGGAGGAAGGCATCCTGAAAGTGGGAGACTGGGGTTTAGGGTTTAGGGTTTAGGGTTTAGGGTTCATAGGTAGTTATATACTTCTTGGGCTTGTAGTACCTCGGGGGGGGATTCTGGGCTTGGGCTGGTCTAAGGTCGTGCATTCTGAGGATGTTTGCTTTTGGTGATTTCCGTGGGTGGCCTTCAATGGTTGTTTGACTATGCCTCCGCTCACGTGCAGTCAGCAGACCCTGGGGGTTGAAATGCCCTTAAGCGTACGTTCCCAAGGCTCGGCGGGCTCTGATTCTCAGGGCTTTGGGGCCCAAAGCCTGAAACCTGACTCCTCAACACTTGACCATCCCTAACATGAAAAGTCGAGGCCCGAAACTCCCCAAAACGATCCCTAACACCCAAACCCAAGCCCCAAAGGATCCGAATGCCACGTTCGTTCCAAGAAATCCCTGACCAGTGCCTCCGTTTCCGTCGCGCAGACCTGAGGAGCGGCTCGTTTGGGGTTCAGAGTTTGGGGCTTAAGTCTGCATAACAAGACACCCCTAAACCCAAAACCGAAAAGATGCCTAAGCCCAAACCATCACGAGTCCCTCATCCCTAAACCCTAGTATCCCCACATCCTGATGTTAAGACCGGCACCTTCGAAATGCTCGAAGGCTTTTCAGTGCTGTAGGCGGCGTGCAGGCTCGAGACCTGCACGCGTCACGACGAATCATGGCTGCAGGGTCTTGGGCTTTTGGGCTTTTGGGGTGTCAGGGCTTGGGGTTTTGGGGTTTGGGGCTTTGGGGTTTAAGGGTTTGTTTAAAGGTTTGGGGTCTGACAGATCACAGCTGGTGTCTTAGGCCACGCACGAAGATTGAAACTCTGAAGGGCTCTGGGCAAGGTGCCCAAAACCGAATGCCTTTAGACCCCTATCCCTGAAACCCTACCGGCCTACATCAAAGCCCAAGAACGAAAAACCGAGACGTGCTCAGGTTGCGGGCGTCATCAGAGACTCAGGGCAACAGCTCTCAAGCTTCTAGCTCAACAACGGCCTACAGGCCGACTTTGCCCTTCAGCCCATGGACCTCGTTTAGGGTTTAGGGTTTCCGGTGCTAGTATCCCGCCCCCCACCCGCCCGCAGTAGTATCTCATCAACCTTCCTGTTTCGAATTCTTCTGCCTCACCACTAGCAACGGAAACCCTTTGATACAGGAGCCAAGATAAAAGCTACCCAAATAAATCGATTTTCGCTCACGCCTCAACCCCACACCACCCTGAACCCTAAACCCTAAACCCTAAACCCTACCCTAAGCATGAAGTCCTAAAGCCCGAAGCCCCCAAGTTGCCTGTGCTCTGGGCGCAGCCTTGGGCGCTGATGCCAGGAAGTCAGAACCACAGCATCCGCGGCGTCCTCAGGCCCGGGTTGATCCAGCATGTTGGGTTTTGGGTTTTGTCCCATACATGTGTACATCTATATCCAACTTAGTGCAAGCTTCCTCAAACTCTAGGGCCCAAGGAAGTTAGAGGGCTCAAAGAAGTTAGCAGTTTATAGACTATGGAGCCAAAAGGGGGGGGGGGGCTTCTCGAGTAAGATGCCGAAAGATGAAGGCCCAGGAGCTTGCACGGACCTGTGCGGGCCGCGTCGGCGCCAAGAACAGCGTGCCGCGGCAGCGGCTGGGTCTGGCCAGAAGGTTCCCGGGAAGGGGGGTGGAGGGGGAGGGATGATGAGGTACCTCGTTCCTTCATTAGTTCCCTATTACGAGCTAGTAAGGCAAGAATGCGCCCAAATGACCCAAGGCCCAAGCACGTGCTTTTGCAGCCCAGACACGGGGCTTAATGCCTTGAAGTGGTATGAAAAGGAATCCACTGCTGTTGCAGAGACCCACAACAAAAGGCTTGTACTTTAGATCGACCACATGAAGTGGTTCAACAAGTCGCGACGAACACCCAAAACACATCATCGTGCTGTCATTGAGTTCTTTCGTGTGGGCCCACCGCCCAACATGCATATCAGGTTCGAGGTCGGGCGGCTTGTGGATGACGCTTGGGGGACCATCCCTAAACCCTAAACCCTAAACCCTAAACCCTGAACCCTGAACCCCAAACCCTAAACCCTAAACCCTGTGACTATGCATTGCGATGCGGACTTTTCCAGCGCAGGAGGCGTGCTGGCAACAATCGGGCCATGTCTTTGGGCCTTGAGTCGCCCCAAACCGAGAAAACATCCGAAAGCTAAGTGCCCACAGCCCTGACTAAATGCATGCAGTATGCAAGCCAGAGCCCCCATTTTAACAGCCTACGTTCATCGATGCTTCTATACCCTTAATGTGGTTCGATGGCACCGCCACAGGCTCTGTCCGTCCCAACTCGAACCCCTACATTCTCAACCGTAACCCCCTGTAGAAACCCCCAAGGCCTCAACCCTAACCTTAAAACTCTAGACTCTCTGCACCAGCTGTTGCTGGGCACAGCTGGCCAACAGCTCGAAGTCACAACGTCGCAGCAGGCGGGCATACAAGCACACCTGGGCTCTCCCCAAAAGGGAGTCAGGGCACTACTGGGCATCCTAAGCTACTAGAGGTGAAAGTCCCAAGCACTAGAAGGATTGGCGACGGGGTTCCGAAACATGCTCTTCGCATGAGGGGGTGAGGAGTCGCAAGTTCTAAACAGCCCGTTTGCGAACCACTGAACCCAAGCCTAAACCTTTACTTATGACAACTAAGCCCTGAACCATGGCCAAGAGGCTGTGACCAGCATCCCAAGGACGCCGGCCACCCAGATTCCAGAAACCTTGGAAAGGGGGTTCGGCCTTCGGGGCTTTCAGGCTTTTCAGGGGTTTAGGGTTTAGTTTGCATTCGCCTTTGCATTGTCTGGGGCTTCGGCCTTCTGCTCGGGCTGCTCGGACTTCCCGGGCTGCACACTGAGGGTGGGCTTGGGTGGATGGGTTTCGTAGGCGTATAGTTTCGAGTTCAGGGCTTGAAACGGTTTGGGGGGGGGTTCGAGTTTAGGGTTGAAGGTGTGTGCAACCCTAGGCCCTATAAACCATAAACAGTCTAAGGGGCGGCTTCCCCCCTCCTCCTCATGCCAAGTGGCCCCCATGTGGAGGGAGATGGCGAGTACCTTGGCTTCGCCTAAGAGTTGCCCCACGATGGAAGCATGACTACCTAGGTTGGCCTTCTTAAAAACCCCCGGGAAAATGTTCTCTTAAATGGGTGTTTAGGGTGAAGGGGTCCTTTTTAAGAGCAGGAAGGCAAGAACAGAAAACTCCCCAAGATCCCACCTGGTTTGCCTGTTGGGCTTCGGGCTTGCAGTGTCGGGCAGAGGAGCTTTAGGGCCATCCGCGGGGGAAGCAAAAGAGCACAGCCTTCGGGCTTCAGTGACTTCAGTGGGCGCCATAAATCTCAGGGCCCGTTTGATGACAGGCACCTAAACTCTGAACCCCAAAAAGGACCCTAATTTCGGGAAGCTACCACATGGAGGAAGGTGTGGAGCCGTACGTACCGCGAGTGTCTTTGCCTCCGGCTGTGCAGATTCCGAAATCCTGAAGGATGGATGCCCTGCTGCAAACAGGGCACATATGCCCCGCCGAGACGCACCACCACCATGGACACCAGCTTCACCTGAGAGGTCGGCATGGAGGGGATGGGGGGGGGGGGGTTCTTCAGTAGTTCTTTGAACCACCCTCTTTGAGCCGAAACGTCGCACCCTTTCTGCAGGTCTCGCCAAAGCCTCCATACCAATCCACCAAGATAGGTACAGACAATGCCTGGCACAGTACCCTCCCGACATCCGAAACTTGCAAAAGTGTGTGCAGCACCCCTCCGTCCCGGATTGCAGGCTTACGGAGTTTGCTGCGCCTGAAAACCACGCTGTGCTTCGGGGGCCTGGAGCAACCCCGGCAGCCCCTGGGACTCCTGAAACCCCCCGTACCTCTTGCTAATGCTGTACTTCTTGCCGATGCCCTAAACCCTTAAAGCCCTGAACGCTAAACCCTTCAACCCTTACACCTGAAACTCTAAGCCCTTAACTAATACACCCTACACCCTGAAACCCGAAACCCCGAAACCCTGAAACCCTAAATCCTTGCATAGAAAGCCGAACTCTCCTAGATCCTTAAACCCCTCCAGCCCTGAACCTGACATTGAAACCCTGTCCAAATCCCACACCCTTAAACCCTAAACTCATAAACCTGACATAAGACCCTCAGCTCTACACCCTATTTCCCGAAAAAACCCTTAAGCCTCCAACAAGTCACTTGTGAAGCCCCACGCTGGAGACCCAGGCCTGGCGAGCACCGAGCCCGGAACCGCCAGGAGTTGAGATTTGGCTTTGGGTTTCAATAGGGTCAAGAAGGTTTGGGGATGATGAAGGCGACTACAGATTGGCATGAAACTGCCATGAGATTCAAGGAGTTGAAGGGGCTGAAGGTCTCGGGCTTTTGGTTGGTTTAGCTTAGGGTTGGAGAGCTTAAAAGCTTCAACCCTTCAGCCCCAACAAAGATTTGGTTTCACCTGCAAACTTACAAATTGCTGAAACTGTCTAAGCACACAAGCCCAAAATCGCAAACGCCCCTAAGTCTATGACGGGCTTGGGGTTTGGGCCGTAGGTGGGTTTAGGGTCTCAGCACCAAGAGCAAGTTGCAAGAACCATGCACCTCAACCGCACAACACAGCCCCAACCCACCCACTTGACCATTTCCCCTTCGCCCCAAAAAGCCTTAAGTAAGCCCAAAGCCCTGAAAGCCCTGAAAGCCCCTTAAGACCGCTAGAGCCCCAACCCCTAGAGCTCCTAAAGCCCCAACCCTAAAACCCCCAAAACCCCTAAAGCCCCAACCCTGAAACCCCTCGAGCCCCCAACCCTAAAACCCCTCGAAAGCCCCCAAAGCCCCACCCCTAACCCTGAAACCGCCAACAGGGCCCCCAAAGCCTAAAGCCCTAAGCTCTCCGCCTATGAGGCCGCCCTCCAGGACGGTTTGCAAGCCGTCAAAGAACTGGAAAACAACTGCGCCAGGGGCTCCCGGGCGAAGCTCGAGCTTGGCTTTGTGGCTTAGGGCTTAGGAAGACAGGGTTTAGGCTGCAGGGTTTAGGGATAGAGGGTTTAGGGTCCAGGATTTTGTCATATGGGGTTTAGGGTTCAGAGTTTTGGGTTGAGGTGGGATTGACCCGCCTAGGATGACGATGAGGACGTTCATGGTCTCGACCACCTCAAGGGAGGAGGAATCCTACACTCCCTCGTTTTTGTGTTTAGATTCATAAACCTCTAAACTGCCTAAGTCTCTAAACCTCCTCAGTACCCTAAACCCCAAGCCGCTAAGCTCTGAAGCCCCAGCGGCTGCGTCATCGGTGCTGAAGACGCGAGCTGCGGCCCCACGGAAGAGGCACAGCAGCAGTCCGAGGAGAAGGCAGATCCTTGGACTGGCATGTAGGGTTGGTGAGTTTAGGGCATATACGGGTCTCTGAGCTTTGGGGTTTAGGGTTTGGGGGGTTTAGGGTTTGGGGTTGAGGATTGCGTCAGGTGAGGGCTTGTACTGGCCGTGAAGGAAAAGGATGTAGTGCTTAGTAGGGTTTGCCTAGGATCCACATGATCTACACCGAGCAACTGAGTGCAGGGTTTGCGGGGATGTACCTAACCCCGAAAGACTACATCCTCCCCTAAGCCCCTGACCCTAAACCCGAAACCCTAAACCCTAAACGTCCTACTAATTCAAGAAGTCTAAACCCGGCCAGGCGTCCCAAGGATGAGTGCCGCCGCAGCTTTCAAGCTGCTGCGGGCCTCTCTGCTGTGACCTGTCGGGAATCTGACTGTTCGGTTTGTGGTTTAGGTTGTTTAGGAGTCAGCGTCTAGGGTTTAGGGTTTATGGCTTAGTGCTGACAGAGGGATTCAGGGTGCTTGAGGAGCTTGAGGGGTTGAGACTTGAATTCTAAACCCTAAACCCTAAACCCCAAACCCCAAACCCCAAACACATCATCACCAAACTGGAAGCATGATATGCCACACATGCTGATTAAAGCATCAGCCGTCACACTTATATTGATCGCATTGACTTCAAGTCCGTGTCAACCCCAACCCCCAACCCCCAACCCCCAACCCCCA